TAGTAGCCATTCAAAGTTTCCCCACTTTCCTTCATGGGTCCTTGGTAGGTCCTTGGCTGGTCCCCTAGGATTCCTTTTCAAACATCAATCTTTATACTAAAATATTCTTTCTGTCATGATTTCTGACCATCTCCTGGTCAGACCCTGTAATTTAGTGAAAGGGTGGAGTCAGAGTAAAGAAATATGCAAGAGGGGGTCACTGCAGCGGCTGGAAGTTGGAGGGGATTTTACTGCATGTAGGAGGGAAGATGGCTGCCATTTGGCTGCTGTTTGACTGGGAAGGGGCCATTTTTGATTGACTGCTACTGTAAGTTATTGAATGTTATGGTTGCTGCCATTTTGGTTTATGTAATTCCTGCCTTGAGAGCTGTAGTTTCATGGACTGCCGATAGGAGGCGGGGAGCAGTGCTAGCGTGATGTGTAAATGGACATAAGAACCAACTTCAGCACGGCTAACCGATCAAAGCTCAGTCCAAACTCGCCTCGGATCGGTTTCAGAAGGCTAGTGGAAATGGAGCATAAGTAGCCGAACCTCAACCAGTTTGCTTCTATGCTGTGAACTTTATTGTGTGAATTTCATCACATGCAGCTAGGGATGCACGATATAATCGGCCCCCTATCGGTATCAGCCTGTATCGGCCTTTAAACTGAATATCGGACATCGGCCACCCCACCGATATTTAACCCGATATTTGATCAGCTTCTGAGTTTCTAAAGTCTAAAAAAAATAAAAAATACTACTTCTTCTTCTTCCTCAAAAACTTCTTTTTTACAGACTTAAAAACTTCTAAAGACGAGGGAAAAAATATTGATACATTAAAATATCACAATATCTTCATATGCTGATATATTGCCATTTAAAAACACCATATCAATCTCTTTTACTAATGAAATATTGCTATATGTCATCGTTATGCTACGAAATCCCCCGAAAATTCAAGAAATTTTGCCATATTTTTATATGTTGATATATTGACGCGGTATCGATCTATTTTACTAACAAAATCTCACAAGAATTTGCAAAATATCACGAGAGTTTGTAACAGAACGATGAAATTTCACGAGATTTTGAAAGTAAAATAGATCGATACCGCGTTTTTAAAAAATCAATTTGATATCAGCATATGAAAATATATTTGAGTATATTATTTTTCAAAGTGTCAGAAACAGATAACAAAACTGCTATTTTCAATTATACTTATTTTTGTCCAGCTTTAACATCGGTATCGACATCGGTTATCGGCTACATGGGTTTTAAAATATCGGCATATCGGATATCGGCCAAAATCCCAATATCGTGCATCCCTACATGCAGCCCCAGTCCTCCTTACAACCCTGAGGGGATGCGTCCACCATGACAGCCGCCATGCTCAAACCTTTAAGGTATATTTCCACCCCCCAGAGGGGTTTTAGTGCCTGGGTGACACCTCCCTTTCCCCAACATGCAATAAATACATAGTTTCTAACATGTCACCATATCTCCCTCAGATTAACCTGAACCTCAGGTACAGGTTCGATGTGTCATGACATATTTTAAATAAAGGAGTTACAAACAACATTTAGTAACTATTACCTTATAAGGCAACCAGAGGTTAACACTGGGTGAGCTGATTATGTAGGTCTGGCTGCTTATTTAACTCCAAAGTTCAAGCAAACGGTTTTTGAAAGCTCTAAGAATGGAGTAGAACAGGAAATGTAAGTTTTTATGTTTTTTAGAAAAGTGGACATTTGACTCTTCTGCAAACTATGAACCTTAAAATACAGCAAACAACTCTGCTCCTTTATTGTTCCTCACAACCAATGCTTGTGGGGAGAGTTGAAATAATTGGAACCTGTAATTAAAGTGAGATTAACGTTTATCTGCAGATTACAGCTCCTGCTTCCCCCTAAAACAGAAGCGACCGGTCTGACTGCTCCTAGTCTCTCCTGCTGAAAGGGAAGCCTAACAGTCAGAGGATGCAGCCTCACTTTTACAGACAGTTTGTAGGTTCAGCATCAGCTGCCAGAGCTGAGAACATTTCACATCTCTTTGCTTAGTTATCAGTTATTAATTAAAAAAAAGCGTCACTATGAAATTAAGCAAATATCTCATAAACGCCTGATGTTTTACAGAAGAAATCTTTTTATTATAGCGGACAAGAGCAGCAGCAGTAAGTTTGACACATTTTTAATCTATAATTCATTACCGTTGTTCATTACGTGGATGAAATAAAATAACATGTTATGCGTCTTATGATTTATATTATCTATTCTAACACATCTAAAGTAATGAAACAGAGAAAAGTGAATTTCCAGTATAAGGAAACACGTCAAGATATTGAATTTATATTAGGTTTGAAATATAGTTCCTTATAATTACTGGATCTGTTTGTTTTGTAATATTTTCTTTAAAGGATATTTTTCTTTGGAACAACCTAGATTGAAGTTTATTGGATGATGCTTCACCATCAAACCAGATCACCAGATTTTCCGCAGTGAAAAGTGAGAGATTATTCACAAGCAAAGCTTTCTGGGGGGAGACTTAATAAGAGCCAAACATATCAATAAAATAATTAGGTGAAACCAGCTGCATATGTAGACATCTATAAACTATTTCTATACTCTTGGTTTTAATGGATTAGCATAATAAGCTGTTCTAACCGCTGTAAATATTTATTAGGTCCAAAGGTGTCAAAGTCCAGATAGATCTTCAGTTTACTTTAGTAGAAATGTTGGCTATCTATACTTTACTTTTTAGATACTTTTTTCCTTCTCCTCCTTTCATTTTTAAAATATTCTCGTTATTTTTGTTTCATTTAAGCTCATTTTCATTATGGCCTGTTGGTATTTATAAAAAATAAAAACCATCAAAATAATTTGTTTTATCCAGACAATTAATTTCTTTGTGGTTGGACTCGGTGCTGCCCCAACTTGTTGCTCACCACATAGTAAGGTAGTGCAATAAAGCTTCTGGCTTTAACATGTTTTCCTTCACTACTTTGACTTTTACACTTAAAGTAGTTTTAAAAATTGTACTTTTATGCTTTTACTGGAGTAAAAAGCTGAAGTTCATCATGTAAGTTTTTCAAAAGTGTTTTAAACAACAGGATTTTTCCTTTTTTGGAGTAATGGAGCCTAGTCAGAAGATCAACTGAAGAAACTCATTGCTCTCCTACATCCACCTGTGACTCAGCCAATCAGCTTTGAACCACACCTCCACGAAAGCCCCTCCTCCACCATCGTAGCTAAAGCTTCATCAGAGCGTCATTCCTTCCGGACTCTTACTGCGTTCCCTGTCTCATCTAAAGCGGTCCGGCAGAAGACTGCCATGTTGAGCCTGGTTCTGCCAGAGGTTTCTTCCCAATGGGGAGTTTTTCCTCTCCACTGTCGCTCCATGCTTGCTCATCATGGACAGGTTCTCTTAACCTGTGTTATCCAACTGGCCTTCCATCTTCCAGGTCCCTGAGTGGAGCTCTAGTATCAGCTCACGCAGTCCACCGGATCTCCCCATAAAGCTCAGCAGACCGTCTCACTAACCAGCAGTCTACAGACTGATCAACTCCATCTATCTCCACTCCACCACCAGTTTCAGGCCTGGGGGGGAAACAGCCCTATTCTTTGCTCCTGTTCATGCATATCTATCAAAATTCAGCGCTAATGTTTCCTGCTGAGGTCTGAGCACCAAACACTAAATTAATTCTATCAATAAAGTTCTTCTAATTGTCTTGTGTGAGTTTTTCAGATTGAAATAAACATGAATACGTTAGACGACTCTGAATAGGTCTATGTGAGCATTAGAACTGGGCATTCTTTGGAAACTCATAGCTGGATTAGATATTGATTAAGTATTTAGTGCTCGGTTATTGATTTGTCATAATTAGAAGTCAATATTTTTTTTAAAGTGAAAGAGAATAAAACAGACATAATTTTTTCCTTCTATCAGAAGAAGCCGTTTCAGGGATCTACTTTAACACCTGAACTCCTTCTCATCTGACTTCTTCTTACTATTCGTATTGAAGCAGAATTCTTTAGGGCAATGAGCTGATTTTCATTTCCTTACTTTCTAAAAGCATTCGCTCAGGCTGTTGCGTGCCTGCATAGGTCAGATGTGTTTAGACTCAAGTTTTATTGAAAATAAAAACATTTTTTTCACCTGTCTGTAACTTTAGCTGTGCAGAGCTAACTTTTTATGTTCTGTTTCATCTAAATAAAAACAAAAATTTTCAGTATGATTTATATATTAATAAATTAGATAAATGTAATGTGCTCCAATAGAAGGTTTTCTTGATAGATCTGATGTAGAAAGTAAATATTTTTTATTTTTTCATGATACTTTGGAGATGTTACAAACTTTTTTTTAAATGTAGAAAAAGAAATGTTTAACTGGAAAGAGGAATAACTATTGTTTACTAATGATTCTTCTCATTAAAAAGTAAGAAAGGCCAAGCTGTGCGTAATTCAGGCTTCCATCCGTCTGACTGGAAAGGCTGGATTAAACCCTTTCAAGGCGACTTTAACAAAAGCAGAGCGTGTTTTCCTTAAAGGTCGCACTTTTCCCTCCAACTTAGATTGATAACTGAGCACAGGGCGACTGCAAAGTGGCGATGGTTAAAGTCATGAGCATAAAGGACTAAAAAAATAACAGAGTTAAGTTCTTTATGTATTCTAAGATGTTTTTGTTTTCTAAATGAACAGAGAGATGTTTTTAGCGTAAGAAGTTACGGTAGAGCAAAGCAGAGGAGCTGCTGGGAGCCGCATCCTGGGTCTCCATGACTTTTCTCACCATGCTGACAGCAGCATCCTTAAATAAAGCAGTGGGATTAAAAATCTAAACAGTTCTCCTGAGCACAGTAAGTGTAATAGGGAGGATGCTTTGTCCTTTATTGATGTGGTAGAATACTTGATCCACTTTTAATAAAAAAAAAAAAAAAACTCCAGGACTACTTATGAAGATTAGAAAACTGAAACAACTGTGAAGTTTCAAACAGAAGTAGAGCATCATAAACAGGAAGGATGCTTACATGCTGGTGATGTTCTGGAAAAAGTCCTCGATGTTGTCGCTCATGTTCCCTGGGGCCCCCGCCCCGTGGAATGGCAGCAGTGGGAAGAACCTGCTGCTGTCTGACTTGTTGCAGAAGATCTCGGTGGAGGAGACGGTGCAGGTGGGTGGAGGGTCCAGGAGGGAGCCCAGGCTGCTGTGGAACCAACAGACCAGCAGCAGGACAACCTTCCAGCGGCTGTGGACAGGCCGATCCGAGGGGAAGGGGGTCGGAGCATCCCTCATCTCCTCTGAGTTCCTGCACTTCTCCTCAGTGTGAAAACAGGGAAAACCTTATTTTTTTTTTTCTAAGTTTATCTGTTGTTGTTTGTCCTCTCAGCAGAGTCCAGATGATGAAAGGAAGAATTTCTCCTTCATTTCTGTGGGTCCTGCATGGATCATCTCTGCAGACAGCTGGAAACCAGGGAGGCTCTTCCAGGTCAGCTACATGGCAGACGAAGATCTAAAGCCACTCAGAGCCGTCCTTCTCCTTTTCTCCTCATCCTGACCTCTCCATTCCTCCCCCTCCCTCTCTGCCTGAGCTGATATTCCCACTGAGGCTCTGCTAGCTCCATGTGGGCCGCGGCATCAAGTCCCACCTACATCAGGGCCCCCGGCCTTCCACCCAATGAGGGCCACTATCTAATGACTCCCAACAGTTTTACAACTTATTGAAAAAAACAACCCTGTAGTAAATTATACAGAAGCCTATGCATTCTCCCCATCCCTACTAGGAACATGAAACATTCTATAATAAATTTATGTAAAGAATTATTTTATTTATATTTAAAAAGTGAGCACAGGACACTAGCAGAGCTGCAAAGAAAAGAATCTTTGTCACCCTTTCTAGAGGGCATCGTTATTGGCAGACCAGATGTTGCTGCCATCTTGTTTATTGTTTTGCTTTATTATTTCAAGGCTGCTTCAGATGCATCATCTCATTTCCAAGAGGATCCTCCTCAGAGAATATAAATACAACAAACATCACTAGTCATAATTATGAATCCAAAACATTTAAACACAGACCACACATACTCCGCAAATCCTATAGCCAGCTATTATCTAGATATGTTCAATGATACTAATAGCTACTGTGTAATGCTTACTCAACCTCTATGCACACAGAACACGATACTTGAGCATTAAGCCCAGGATAAATAGTAAATCCAATATAGGAGGGAGAAAAATATAAAAACAGGAGCAGGTAGTATGACGGTGAATCGGTAAAAATAATCTAAAGATCTAAAGATATAAAAAGATCAGACAGATCTGAGGATGTAGGTTCCAGACTGGTAAAGCCTCAACCCCAAAACAGCCGCATTTCAGTCCTAATCCTTGGTAGGAGAAAAATAAATGATCAGTGAAAGGAAGATTTAAAGGAATAGTACACCCAAAACATGATTAGCCTTCATTTTCTACTCACCCCCATGCTGAACAACACTCTGGAGTACTTTTTTGATATCTCAAATGCATCTGGAGATCTGGGAGGCTTCTTGCTGTCTGCTGACATTCAAATAATGGAGGTCTATGGTGCCCGAGACAGAAAGGTCCATAAAAGTCCACAAAAAACGTGTCAATATTCCTCCATACTGCTCGTCCAATGTATTCCAAGTGTCCTGAGTGGGTAGCATCCAGAATTTACTCGAAACAAAGTCATTTAGAATGTTTTTAGAGCATAAACAGTAGTGTATAGGATTTCCTAAAAGCACACGCCTGCGAGTTCACGACTCTACGGAAACCGCGGCAGACCAAACCAGATGAAAGTGCGCATTCAGCGTCCGCTCTGCCGATAATGCAACGCTACCCACTCAGGACACTTGGAATACATTGGACGAGCAGTATGGAGAAATATTGACACGTTTTTTGTGGACTTTTATGGACATTTCTGCCTCGGGCACCATAGACCTCCATTATTTGAATGTCAGCAGACAGTAAGAAGTCCCCAGATCTCCAGATGCATTTGAGATATCAAAAAAGTACTCCAGAGTGTTGTTCAGCATAAGGGTGAGTAGAAAATGAAGGCTAATCATGTTTTGGGTGTACTATTCCTTTAAAGGGACCACTCATTGGTTTGTCGGTTCTGCTTTCTGCTGACATCTCCTGTGGAACCAACTACCAGTTTTAGTCCGTGAGGCAGACACCCTGTCTACTTTAAGGCTAGGCTTCAAACTGTCCTTGTAGATAAAGCTTATAGTTAGAGTGGCTCAGGTCACCCTGAGCTATCTCTATAGTTATGCTGCTATAGGCTTAGACTGCTAGAGGACATAAGGACCCCTTTCTCATCATTCTGCTTCATTCTATCTCTATTCTCCCACTCTGCAGAATCTGTTAGTTCAATCTCTAACTTTCTGCTCTCTCTGCTTTTTCTCAAAGTAGCTTCATCTGGTCTGTTCCTGTTTGGCTATGACTCCATCCTGGAGAGAAATATCAGCTGTGCTGCTGCCATCAACACCTTTGTTTATAGATGTTGGAGCTTGGCCTTTTTTTCAGTGTAGTCCTGTTTCTCTGACTGTGACTAACTGGGTGTGCTCTCTTCATCCTCTGATACGAGCTGGCTCGAAGCTCGTCTGCCTGGCTGTGTGTTTCCTGGATGGGCCGCCTGTGGAGCCGGTTGAAAGTTGCTTTTTTCTATCTATGCTTCTTTTTCTATGTCTGCTTCTGTCTCCTTGAACCCCAGTCGGCCTCAGCAGATGGCCGCTCACACTGAGCCTGGTTCTGCTGGAGGTTTCTTCCTGTTAAAAGGGAGTTTTTCCTCTCCACTGTCGCTACAAGCATGCTTAGTGTGAGGGATTGCTGAAGAGTCAATGAGTCAATGCAATCAGCTGGTTTTCCTTAGATAAAAAACCTTGAATCAATCTGCCTGGATGATCTGGTTAAATTGTCTGTATAAAGTGACCTAAGATGATATCGTGAATTGGAACTATAGAAATAAAATTAATAGAAATTTAATTGAATCGGAATAAAATGTAAACACGAATAAAAAATTGCTTGACACAGCAACTAATTAATTAATAAATGAATGAAAAAGGACTACATGACTGGAAACATCTCAGACTAATCGACACAATTTGATTATGATTTCATTTATAAGACATTTACGTAGATAATATCATTAAAATGTTTAATATTTCTAGTTTAAAAGAAAATAAGACTGGATGTTCTGGAACTTGACATTTATGCACATCAACAGGCTATGAATGGCTATAGAGTAGGTATAACACTAAGGAAAAGAACATGCTTTTCAAGCAACATAACAAACGTACAAATATTTTTCTAAGTAGCAGAGCAGATCAGAGCTGCTTGTGGCCATCGTGGATAACGTCTCTGTTCTTGGACCTAAGGAGTAAATCTGAGGAACATCTATGAGCCTCTCTCTGATAGGCCTCTGCCTCTACTGAACTACCTTATAAATTAGACAGACTTTATTTAGTCTGGATTTAAAATGTCTTTATTGCTCTGATCTAACATTCTTGTAAATATCAGTCTTATCATAGATAATCTGAATAAGATGTTTCAGGTTGAACATGTTTTTTTGTAATTTTATTATGTTAAATTATAATTTCAGCTTTTTTTGTGCAATATGAACATTATTTTGGTTTTATTTGTTTGTTTTTCTAGAATAAGATTTTTTTTCTGTGGTGAAAATCTTCAAAACTATATCTTGTAGATTTAAAGGAAAAGTTCTGTCATATTCAGAATTCAAACTTCAGAAAGTACTTTAAATATGAAATTATTACATCATGTTCAATAAATGATATGTGTAGACATCCCAAGTTCCAAAAACTCATTTCAGGGAGATAGGATCCCAGTTTTCATCTGCTAAATGTTTTTTTTTTTTTTTCACAACAAATAAAAAAATCCTCTAGTTTTTACAGGTTAATTTAACAATTTTTCTTGAGCTCTAATTCAAATTTTATAGAAAACAGTAATTTTAACTTAAATTAAGTCAAAAATATGTAAAATTCCTAAATTATAAATGTATATTGACCACATAAGAAATAGATTATTTATTGATCCTAATTGAAAAGAAATTTCCCGTCATGCAGCTCTCTTAATATATTTGAATCTCTTGCCCTCTTTTTTATTTCATGCTTTTCTGGGCCCCCATGAAAACATGCTGGCCGCCTCCTGGCGCCCTGGTACATTTGGTCTAGATCCACCACTGATCACCTTCACTAGACGTGGATATACTTTAGTATATTCAGCTGTAAAATTAGTCCTATATTTAAATTTTTTACTCGAGAATTTAACCTCTGCCGTTTCCCAGGATGCACAGCTTTGAGTGGTAACTAGGTGACTGCCAGAGAGTAACCCAGAGAAACTTATCGGACTGATCCAATTAGTTCTCTGATCAACAAGTCGCCTGGATCGCCTGGATCGGATCACTTTGGACAGAAACGTTGCACTGGTTTCACCAGTAACCTCCTCCCCACACCCCGCTCTCTCTTGTTGTTCCTGCACAATCGCAGTAGTTCTATTCCGCACATCATGCATGAATTATTGCCTTCTCGCTCTCACTGACATTAAGAAACACCACCTCCCAGAGTGTAAAATCCGGGATAATTGATCCGACTCACGGACATCAATGAACAGCTATCTATATCAGGGTGACTCCTGGAATTTCAGGGAGACTTGGGATGTCCGTGTTTTTAATTCAGATTAATTTTCATCTGAATGTGCTTTACTGGTAACCTGACTCCGCCAGATGGATTTGCTCCGCATATCCATCTGGAAACTTTCCGTAGAAGTAATTTTGTGAAGGGGCAAAAATACTGGTTAGCTGATTGGCCTATGTTGGTGATAGACGGGCCAAATAAACCAATCAGATCAGGGAAGCATATGACGTAACAGAGCGACGACGAAGAGGAGCCAATTGATAGATCAAACTCTTGCTGAAAGCAGTCGGGAGAAGAGCAAAAACATCTTTTCCTCTGAGAAAAGCCTCCAGAGCAGTGTTTTGCTCTTCTTTCAGTGAAGAAATACTCTGTAAATCCGATAAAACTTGCTCGATAGCCACGCTAACGCTAGTTTCATCGGTTGAAGCCGCCATGTTCTTTAGACTGAACTGTCGCGCTTCTCGTTGCGTCACACCTCAACCCGCCTCAAAGCCAACGCTGATTGGACGTTCGTTTGGTGAACGGCTCCAAATTTTCTTTAACGGAGAGTCTCCAGACTGATTAGCGAGTGAAATCTTGAAAGCTCGTGAGATCAGGATCGTCTCATGAGGCTACTTTACTGGAGGCATCCATGTTTGTCAAAGAACACTACTGCCACCTACTGGTTTGTGACGTCACGGTGCGGTATCGGCTGTTGATCAAGTCCCAGTGCTGTATCTGGTGTTTGTCACAACGCGCTATTATCCAAGTCATCTTGAAAAAAATCTTCTTCCAAATGTTGGCTACATATTACGTGTTTTTTCTCAGGCCAGAAGTTCGATGGCAAATCCTTCCTCTTCAAGTTGGCAATCCAACGACCAACCCATCCGTGGAGGATCAGGAATCAGAAAGGTGAAATAACTCTTTTTCTTCCACTTTTACTCGATGTATTCCACAATC